GTTATTGCTGACTGTTGTTTGATAGCAACTTCTCGAAGTGAGCTGATCTCCGGCGATCTCCCCTACGTTTTCGCCCACCGGATATTTGATCGTCATGTGGTACGTGGATACGACCGCCTGGAATGCGTTCAAGCTCGTTCGTCCCATGATGATGTTATAGGATGACTCAGCGCCTACGACCACAAATCTCACCATGCGCACCTTTCTCAGCTCTCCTGATCCCAATGCCACGGGCAGGCTGACTTCTCCCATCGGCATAACCTCTCCTCCATTAAAACCGTACAGCGCCGTGGTTACCGGTTTCAGCTCCATATTCAGCTCCCTGTTGATCTGCACAAAACAGTCGTAGAACATCACATCTACCGAACTCTCGGTATCAATGAACACCCTCTTCACATCAAATCCTGCGACCTCTGCGGTTATCACCAAGGCATCATTGTGTGGCAAGACCACTCCTTCGGCATCCTCCGCCTTAAAACTTATCACCGACATTTGGGCCGTGATACTCACCTCCTCCCTCTTCCTCTTCATTGCTCGAACGTGACCTTTCCTCGTATTGTTCGAGTCCCCGTCCGTCGGTCCTCCTGAAATCATATATATCGTGCCTCTCTTTACCTGGCCTCCATCCCCTTCTCTCTCCCGTTCTCTACTTCCTCGCCTCCTCTTTCCCTCACTCTTTTTCGACCATATCGACCACCTCGCGCATCCTCATCATCATCTTCCTCACTCCTCTCTACTGAGTCCTCCCGACACCTTCTCTTCTCCTTCCTCCTCCCCTTGTCCTGATAAACAAACTCCTTGAGGTGTCCTGCTCGAATGAGGCGCTCAATTTCATCCTTGAGGTGCCGACAATCCTCAGTAGTGTGGCCATAGTCTTTGTGGAAGCGGCAATATCTCCTCGACTTCGGTTGGGTGGGCCCCTCGAACCTCGACCTGGGCCACGTCACGTCTTTCTCATCTATCCCTTTCTCCATAGCTATCAGAACCTCGGCTACCTTTGCGTTCAACGGGGTGTAATCATGGAATCTTTTTCCTCCAGAGATGGGTCGGTCCTTCCACCTATCCTCTCGCCCTCGGTCTTGTCTAGCTCGCCCCTCCCTCCTGGGCGAGGCTTTCCTTTTGGGCGAGACCGTTTTCTCCTTCCTCGACTCCCCTCGACCTAATTCCTCCAGCTTGGCAAACTCCGCCTCAGTCTCCTCGAGATTGATATATTTTCTACACCTCCTCAATACCTCATCATACGTGTGGGCAGGGGTCTTAGCCAAAGAAGTTCTACATGGCCCCGCCCGCAAACTTCTTATCAGTCCTCCCGCCTTGACCTCGTCGACCGCCGATGGAATCTCCAAACAAGCCTGATTATATCGAGCAACATACTTGCGCAATGATTCTTTCTCGCCCTGTCTCATCGCCATCAATGTCAAGTACGTCTTCTCCTGAGCCACCGCGCTCGAATATTGATTTGTCAACTTTTCTGCAAAATCTCCAAAGTCCACTATCGAGCCTGGGGGGAGCTGTTGGAACCAGTCGAGTGCCCCTCCCCTAAGGGTCGATAAGAAAGCCCTGCAACTAACGGGATCAGTATATCCATGCAATACAACCATATTTTCAAACGTCCTTACGTGTCTCGACGGATCAGAGGTCCCATCGAACACCAAGTTGGTATCCTTGTAATTATTTGGCAAAGGTGCTGCCAGTATGTCCGCCGAGAAGGGATGTCCTCGAGCCCGCCTCTCCGCTCGACCATCCACCTTAGCCTGCAATTGGCGCAGCTGTTCCGCCATCCTCTCCATCTCCCGGTCGTGCGTGGGCCCGCCTCCACCATAACTGGACTCATCCTCCTCCGCGTTTTGTCGTGACCCTGCAACAGTATTCGGCGCAGTCGTAGCCCGAGAAAGACTGTTCGTAACTTGTTGAACCGCCTGGGCCGCTGCCTCCGCCACCATTTGTTGCATCTCCTGCCTGGTCATCAACACCGGTTGGTCGGGGACCTGAACCGCTGCTCACGGCGGTGCTCCTCCTTGGACCGCCGCTCCTCCCTGTTGTTCCCCTGTCCCTCCTGGTTGCACTGCTGTCAAATTTTGTGGTGGTGGTGGTGGCATCGCCGCCGCGTCTGTTGCGCGAGCCTCCTGGGCACAGTTGGGGCCGGTATTTCCTCCAGGGATCGCTGTTGCCGCTCCTACACCTTGGAGCACCGGTGCGGGGGTAATCGGTGTCTGCGATGGGCCTGAAAAATCCGGAGGAGGACCTTGCCCCAACGGCCTGGTCGTCGTCCAAGCATCATCGAACGTTGACTGTAAGTTTTTGGGAATTCCGTCCGCCATAGCTGAGCTTCAAGCACACCTTTTACAACGAAAGTCCCACAGACGGCGCCAAATGGTAACACAAAACTCCTCGACCGGCTGGAACTTGAGTAATCGCCTTCCTTCTCGCCGGTTGAACGTCGTGCACCTACAAAGAACTCTCACACCGGAGGGGTTTTTCGGTGAAGAGCCTTTAAGTCAGTGTGTATTCAATCAATTCTCAAGAGTAAGTAGTAGAATGATCGTGTTCAAGAAGAAAGTCTCACCCCCTTTATATAGGGGTGAGATACCTGACCTAGGGCTGCCCGGATTTGATGAGCTGTCTGCCCTAGCTGCCCGTCCGTACACACCAAACGCGTGTGTCAGAGGCGGCCGTCGCCACTATCGCCTGCACCAATCCTCTTTGGACGCGTGTCCTCCTGCACATGGGGTAGGCTGTCAGAGGTGGTTATCGCTATCCACCACTGCTTTCTCGACACGTGTCCCCCTGCACATGGGGTAAATATTCTCCTGGGATTCTGTCAGAGGCTTCCTTCACGCGCCTATGACTAGGCCGAACAGCGTGGTGTTAAGTCCTCGAAGTAATCGACCTGCTGAGGTCGAATAAATTGCTCGATCGCGTATCTGGTCGAAGGATAGTTTGGTCGACAGCCTTGCTTGGTCGACTAGTTAATTGCTCGATTTCTTTGGCTTCCTCATAATATGACCTCCTCGACCGGTCAACAGACCGGTTCAGCCTTGTGGGTATAATATCCCATATCAGAAACATACAAGACTAAAATTATAGTTTACACTAATATAAAATATTAAGCCGTATAAGTGACGACTATCATTATAGATATAAATAGAAATATAACTTTTTTAGAAAATATTTATATTTTTTTTTAAAAAAAAATTAATTTTAAATAAAATTTCTTAACAAACACACATGTAATACACAAATATTGTAGTATTAGTTATCGTATGAAAAAAAAATGTAGTTGTATTATCCCTCCTTATATATTAATTCAAAACGTGTTGAATCTAGGTGGCAGATTCTCATGCTTCGAATGTTGACATGACGAAAATCTATGCTTCGTGATGTTATTTTTATAGGAAAATGGGTCAAAAACACCCCTAATGTTTGCTGCAAGGTACATATTGGTCCTTTAAGTTTCTTCAGGTACAAATATACCATGAAAGTTCAACCAATAATGATGTTTACATTCTTTCTAATAGGGAAAAAACTCTATTAACTCCTCATTAACTTATTATTAAAAATACATTTAATATGACTTAAACACTTGCTAATAATTCTTTGGACAATTTTATATATGTAAAAAAAAAGTAAATTATGAAAAACACAAAAACGTAAAAAGACAGAATACTTTTGGAATTGTTTTGTCAAATGAGATTGTTTGTCAAAAGGAAAAATAATTGCCAACACAAAACTTATATTACTTTAAGATTATACGGAGGCTAATAAAATGGGATTGTTTGATTTCAATATATTTTTGTTAACTAAAAATACTCAATGCATGCAAATTTAACTGCTAGAGGTGAAACTTGTGCTTTCAAAATATGTTAAAATGCATGCAAATTTAATTTTCTATTGTGCTTCCAAAATAATTCATATACATATGTGAATACTACTTTTTAAATTATACATGGTAGATATATTTCTCGCTTTATTTCAATTATAGGAGAAAAACAATATATTGCAGACCATATATAAAATAGAACTTTTAACAAAACCTAAAAGTTGATATATTCAAATCTCCATTGGCATGTTATGAGGACACAAAATATGAAAAAAAAAATCACTTAGATTTTAGATTGTTAGAACAATAGAATACTCAGTAAATAATTTAAAAGGACATTAAAAATATAAACTGAAAACAATATTATTTATTTAGGAGAAATTTGCTTACAATGTTGATGAAGTCCCGAGAGATGTTGTCATGCAAGTATTTTCTATGGCCATGAAACAATGAATTGAGTGGCTTAATTGGACAAAATGTTTAAAACCCATACGGGTAGCAATGATATACATTAATAGTAGCAAACTTTAATAATATATTTGCACCTAAAGAAACTTCATGGACATATATGTACCTTACAACAAACATTGGGGGTGTATACACTAATACTAGCAAACGTTAATGATATATTTGCACCTAAAGAAATTTCATGAACATATATGTACCTTACAACAAACATTGGGGGTGTTTTTGACCCATTTCTGATTTTTATATTATTTGTGCTCTGGAGTTAAATTTGGTATTAAACATAAATAATTTTACACATATATTCATTAAGTCAATACCCATGTTGTACATGGGTATTAGTACTAGTATATTTTTTTTTTTTTTTGGTACAGGGACCTTCCGGTTTCTGGATCCACAGGGGAACCGACTAATCCGGAATCGAACCGGCTAGGAGTACTAGTATATTTTTAAACACCATAACCACCCCCGCCCACAAATTCTCTCACCAGCTGCTTCAAATAAGTACAGCCTTTTTCATTTTCTCTTTTAATGAACTCCCGCTTTTCCCCTTTTGCAGTCCTTTCTGATCTCATCATCATAAATAAATTTATATGAGAACCAACCACACGCGCCCCCACTTTCTCTGCCAAATTCTCAGCCCCAAACTGAAAAAAGGAGTCCCCAAAACCACTACAATCTCTCTTGTATGTTTCCGCGTGCAATCCTCCCATCAATGGCGGCCAACCACTACAACCCCACCGCCCATGTCGCGAATTCGTCTGCTCCAGCGCAAGAGCCCGACGACATTTCGCTTTTCCTTCAGCAAATTATCCTCCGATCTGCTTCGTCCTCATCGCAGCCTGCTGAAACGCGCCGCCCTCCTTTCCCCGCGCCGTCGGATGATCTTCTGGCTGGTAACGGAGGGATCGTCACAGGTCTGGGTCAGATCCACGTGCCAGACCACCGCCGGTCGGTGCTGAACCCGTCTGCAGAGTTTTGTTTCGCGGCGTCTTCGTCTGCTGGCAAGCTGGACAGTGAGGCGGATGAGTATGATTACGAGAGTGAGGTATTATTTTAGTTGTTCACGTTTTCCCCTTCATTTCTGTACTGTTTTAGCACTGTATAGTTTGGGTCCATTTTTACAACTTTTCTATTCTGATTTTTATGCTCATCCTTTTCTTTTGGTGTTTTTTTTTTTTTTTTTTTTTT